AAAAGAGTCCTAACTAAAAGAAATAACAAGAGTCCTAAATCACTAAGGGAAGTTTTATTCAAAGCTGACAAAATAATTCAGAAAATATCAAACATCATCTATCCTATTAATTCTTGCATCTAGTATATTGTATGCCAACAAATGTATCCATAACATTACTCCCTTCCTGGAGAAAAAGCTTGTCCTCAAGCTTGAAGTCTGGAAAGGCAGATTTGAAATGATCCAACGACGAATTGATTTGATAGTTCAGATATTGTTATTCATGATGTTGATCCGATTCAAGATCATCGAGAGGACATTCTCCCAAGTGGATCCTCTATAGAAAAACCACACCGCTGAATCAAAAGTTCCCAATTACCATGATTCAGACATGATCGGAGCACAGAGCAAAGGGTAGGAACAATGCATCTTTCAACTGGTGGAAGAGTAGGTAGAGTTGCAGGTAGCTCACCCTTGAATGGATTAAGAAGTGACACATGAAACGCATCATGAAGCTTGCAACCTGCATGTAGATCAAGTTGATAAGCTACAGATCCTATTCGCTTCAAAACTGCAAAAGAGCCATATTATTTTGGTGCGAGTTTATGATAAACACGGCTAGATAGAGTTTTTTGGCGATATGGATGTAAACGTAACCAAATATACGATCCCGGAGAGAATTCCACTTCACGATGTCCTTTATCATAAATAGTCTTCATCTTATGTTGTGCTTGTTGGAGCTTGGCTTGAATATCCTGTAAGGGAACATCTCGGTCTATTACTGCTCGGTCAATAGCATCAACTCGAGATGAACTAGCCATGTAGGATTGCAATCTGGGATGTTCCTGGCCATAAAATACTTGAAATGGAGATGTGTGAAGTGCTGAATGGAAAGAAGTGTTAAAGCAAAATTCAGCCTACGGAATCCATTCTACCCATTTGGTAGGATGGTCACCCACCGAGCATTGCAAATACATCTGGATTGTGCGATTAACAACCTCAGTTTGCTCATCCGACAATGGATGGTAAGCAGATGAAAAATTTAATTAAGTCCCACATAAATGAAATAATTCTTTCCAGAACGTACTAGTGAAGAGGGGATCTCGATCACTGACAATTGATTCTGGGATACCATGCAAACGAACAATATTCTCAAAGAAAATTCTTGCTACAGAAGACGCATTATATGGATGAGCAATAGGAATAAAATGTGTATATTTAGAGAACCTGTCCACAACCACCAATAACACTGTTTTACCTAATAATTTTGGAAGCCCCTCCACAAAATCCATTGAGATATCTGACCAGATCTGATTAGGTAGTTGTAAAGGTTGTAACACTCCTGCTGGACTCAAATTAACAGCCTTATTACATTGGCAAACTGGACAAGCAGCAATATAATCCTTTATAGCAGTCTTCATAGTTGGCCAATAAAAATCCTTGTGAATACGTTGCATGGTCTTCTGAATACCTTCATGTGTGCTATTATGAAATCTGGACAAGACAGAAGCTACCAATGGTGAATTTGGCAAGAGATAAACCTTGTCTCTAAAGAACAACAATCCATCTTGAAATACACAATCACCATCCATCTCTCCATGTTCAATTTTAGCTTGAACTTCTTGAAGTATCGGTGACTGCTTGACTTCTGCCCGGACTTCATCAAATATCAAAACCTAAGGCTGGGAAATAGCAAATAACATATCTTCAGTCCCTTCCCGTCGTGATAATGCATTTGCAACAGTATTCAAGAGCCCGACCTTGTATTCAACCCGAAAATCATACCCCATCAACTTGCTAAGACTATGTTGTTTAGGAGAAGTAGTAAGACGCTGATCTAACAAGCATTTAAGACTGTAATGATCAGGCCTCCAATGTTGAACTACCTTTGTCAAGCCAATCAATTCACGTTCATAAGATGGAAGTTTTAGGTTTCGATCAGCTAGTTTACGACTACAAAAAGCAATTTGATGTCCCTGCTGTTGAAGGACTGCTCCTATTCCATCACCTGAAGCATCACACTCAACAACAAATTCTTCTTCAAAATTTGGCAACTATAACACTGGGACATTAACTAATACCTTTGTAAGTGCATATTATTCCACTTAAAGGAATTTCGCTTAAGCATACTTGTTAAGGGAGAAGCAATCAGACCAAAATTCTTGATGAATTTATGGTAATATCTTGCCGAGCCTAAGAATCCATGCAACGTTGTTGTTGATTGCGGTTGAGGCCAGTCCACCACGACTTTGATCTTGTTGGCATCAGCTAAAACACCTGCGTCTGAAACTATGTGGCCTAGATAAGCTACTTGTTTTTCGCCAAACGAACATTTGGTTTTTTTTAAACAAAGGCGATGAGCTTGCAATAACTCAAAGATGATTCGCATATGTGATAAATGATCCTTCCAAGTCTTTCTATACACAAGGATGTCATCAAAAAATACAAGTACAAATTTACGTAGGTATTTCCGGAATACCTCATTCATTAGTGCTTGAAAGGTAGAGGGGGCACTGGTCAATCCAAATGGCATGACAAGGAACTCGAATTGGCCATGGTGCATTCTAAAAGCCGTCTTCTCAACATCCATAGAGTCCATGTAGACTTGATGGTAACTAGAGCGAAGATCAAGCTTGGTGAAACATTGTGCTCCGTGTAATTCTTCAAGTAATTCATCTACTACTGGAATAGGGAATTTGTCTTTTACTATTTTAGAATTAAGCTCCCCATAGTCCACACAAAAGTGCCACATTCCGTCATGTTTCTGAACTAGTAGTACAGGTGATGAGAATGGAGAACGACTAGGTCGGATAAGACCTTGATGAAGCATTTGATCACACTGTTTCTCAATCTCATCTTTCTGGAAGTGAGGGTAGTGATAGGGTCGAACTACCACTGGATTAGTTCCTGGTAGTAAACAAATGTGATGGTCGCAAGAACGCATAGGAGGCAGACCTGTAGTGTAGGTTCTTGGAATATGTCATCAAATTCGGCCAATATCTTCTTGAGGTCACCTTGCTTAGAATCCAACGAAAGATGTAGGTGCGACTGGAATAGTTGTTTTGTCCTTGTAAGGTGATCTGCCTTCCATTTACTTCAAAGATCATTGTCAGTAATGTAAAATCCCACAAGATAGGCCCGAGTGTTTGTAGCCACTTGACACCTAGGACAATATCAAAACCATCCAAAGGAATCACATAAAAATCAGCAATAAAAGATTGGGTAATTACAAAAAAATTACACTCCTTTGAAAATTCCCAATTTGGAGATTTTCTCGCCATTTGCCTCTGATACATTGAGATTTTCCTGATGATGGATAGGCAAGCCTAAACGCTGGGTAGCAGTAGAGCTAATAAAATTGTGTGTGCTGCCCGAATCCACTAAGCTAAGCAACAACTTCATATCGACTACAACTTGCAATTGTATAGTATTTGCATGTTGTTTGCCTGTGATAGCATGAAGTGAGATGGCAGGCTCTTCGTTGTCCGTTGTTATATCCTTAGATTCTCCGTACTCTATTTCTAGCCAAAATAACTTTTTGCACTGATGGCCTGCAACATAAGGATCATCATAGTTGTAGCACAATCCTTTTGCACGCCGGGCAGCCATCTCGGTGCGAGTCAACCTTTTCACAAAAGGATAAGAAGAAGCACTAGTCTTAGCACTTGGAGTCACTGCTGTACCGGCAACTTTAACACTGCCGGTTGAGGTTGAACCATATCCCCTTTGTGTGGTAGAAGAAATTTGTATTTTCTTCTCAAATGCTCTCGCCAGACTCATTGCTTGCACCAAGTTAGATGGATTATGCATTTCAACATCGAGACGACTTAAATCAACTAACCCTGCTGTAAACATATGAACTTGTTGGTCTATACGCACAGATGAAGCACGAGCTAACCAGTTTGGGAAATTTCTCTAATATTCTTCCACAGAACTAGTTTGTTTAAAGTTGATCAACTCTCCTAATGGGTTACTTTTCATTGGTAGGCCAAACCGAAGGGTACAATATTCTTTGAACACACCCCATGTCAAATTGGGTTCCTCCAGTTCTAGTTGATAAACCCATAATTGCGCCTCCCCGACCATGTGAAAAGAAGTTAACTTACTTTTTCTTGGTTGGCAGTACGCTGGTTAGCAAAGAATTTCTCACAATGGTGAAGCCAAATAAAAGGATCTTCAGTTTCATCATAAGTAGGAAAGCCTAATTTAGTGTATCTGGGTACTATACCTCTTCCTCCGATGTTGTCATCAATACAAGAATTGATGTTGTTTCTTCTCCCTACATGAAGAACTGATTGTTCACCTGCATTACTGGTTTGTTGCGCAGCAGGAGCACTATTATCTCCAATTTAAACTCCCTTCATACACGTCGTGGTGCGGATTAAGGCTTCAATCTGTTGGGATAGTTGCTGGAATTTGGCGTCTGTCCTCGCTTCTGAAGCTGCTACTTTTGCTTCAGCTTCAGCTTGGGCTTCCTGGAAAAGATTTCGCAACTTTGCTTCTACACATTTTCCGTCCATCATGACAAACTCTGATACTAAATTGTTATGGTCCCTAATTTTGGATCGAGTCGCTGGACGATTAACAGGAAAGTCAGGCCCAACACGAAGGTCTAAGCCCTTGTTCTTGTTCCTAGACTTGCCTATGATTGCTGGATTTGCAATTCAATCAGGGAATTGCACACCTGGGAACTTATTTGAGAAAGGTTCCAAATCTCTGTGACTTGAAGAAATTCAACCTACTTTTATTGTTAAGCGTCAAATCTCTTAAATAGAGGTTACATAGCAAGAGTCCTAACAAATAAGAAATAACAAGAGACCTAATTCGGAAAAGAGTCCTAACTAAAAGAAATAACAAGAGTCCTAAATCACTAAGGGAAGTTTTATTCAAAGCTGACAATTTTTTTTAGAAAATATCAATCATTATCTATCCTATTAGTTCTTGCATCCAGTATATTGTTTGCCAACAAGTGCATCCATAACATCTACCGCCTTCCTCTCCTTATTCTTTTAGAGAAGAAGGACATTGCTTAGTTGATAGAAGTACAAGCAGGCAAAGTTTAGTTAGATAGAGTACAAGCAGGTCTTTAGTAAATTGATCACATACAAATAGTCAATGTTACTGCAATTTTAAAAATGAGTATCTTATTTGATATGAAAAGAAAGAAAAGAAAAGCTTAGAAAATGGTTATCTTATGTAACAAGTCTTCTAATGTTGATGCTGAAAGTCCATGTAAAAGAAAAGCTTTATTCCATAGCAGCCAAAAAGTACATTGATACAAGCACAACTACTCTGGATGTGCAAGGAGTATGGTATGTTGGCTAACTATTAAATTAAGTGAGATATATGTGTCCTTAGAGTGTGGCTGGTCAAATTGTTATTTTCATTTATGTTTGGTGACTTTGGAGAAACTGTAAAAGGAATATATGTTTGTCCTATTGCGAGTTTATATTCATCAATAACTTAAACCATATGATCATGGTGCGGGAATGAAGAACTTCAAGAAATCAACAAGAAAATTCACTGAATGCCTCCAAACTATGGATGGTAACAATTTTCCTTAGGTAATTACTTCTCTCTCAACTACCTCAAGCCATGGCTAACTCTCCTCTTGCTCTAATTAGGGGAGTAGTCTAACCCCTCATGCTCTCAAACCGAATAGGATGACTTGATGCTCACAGACTGTTCGATAACGTGCGTCACTGAAAAAAATCAATTGATGAAAATGGTGTTATCTCATATTTGAAAATGGTGTTACATGTTGATCATTAGTCCCAATATTGATTAATTGGTAAGTGATGTCAGTTTGGGGATTGATTGCGAAGAGGATCATAATGTCTCTCTCTTTTAATTGATTTGGAGTGTGCTTGAGTGATTGTTCTCTCCATTATTAGTTTCTTAGCTGTAAACTAGGGATGCCATAAACTTTGCGTGGATGAGAACATGTTGTACGAATGAAAATTGAGTGTTAATTGAAGCTTGGCCAAATATGCAGATAATGTTGTGTATGCAGCTCGGGCATTGTGAATGGATCAAGGCAGCACAATGTGCATAGGTTTCTCGAGTTTCATTGTGTTTCACTCCAATGGTAACTACATCGCCTTTCTCCTATTTCGGTTTGGTTTGTTTACTGAAGGTTGTGATTTTCATGTGTTATGTATGCAATTATGAGAGCAAAGAGAGTAATTTTTTTAGCTGTATTAAGGAAAATTCCAGCTTTTGTGAAATTTCAGTTACATATCAATTCTATACTTATCCTTTTGTATCAATTATGAATGAGTTTTGGTTACTTATCAATTGTTGCCTTTATTTATTTTGTTGGCACAGGATATAGGAAGTTGTATCACGTCATCTAGCAGCCCAAGATCACTCGATGAAAGTAACTTCGCGGATCATGAGTGTTCATTGAATGTATATCTAGGATTTATTATTGTTTTTTCCCTTATATATGTTGAATTGATGTAAAATATTACTCCATGAGTTTTAATACATTTGATGGTGTATCTGAAGTGCTTATGTTTTTTATGTACAACAAATGATTTATTTAAGTACTCGTTCACTTATATTTGTGTCAAAACTGTTACAAGTAATAGACAAACTTTCATGCAAGGACAGGGTAAATATATGTAATGAACAAAAATTGTAGAAATTAATTACAAAACAGAAAACAAATATGGCGGGTTCAAACTGCCTTTTAAAGAGACAATTGTTGCGGTTTACAACCGCCATTTTATGCAGGATTCGATTATGGCATTTAACAGGAAACCGCCGTAATAAATTTTTGGCGGACGTAATTTGGGCATTTCGTGAAATCGCCATTGATGCTTATAGTGGTGGTTAAAAACCACCACAACCCGCTAAAATGATCGCCATTATTACAATATTTTTTGTAGTGAAGTGTGTGAACCTGAAACTACATGAACCATATAGAAGAACCGGTTCCAAGTGTGTGTCTTTTATTATAGTCTTACTGTAGTAGGGTTTTTGAGTTGTACCTTTCAGCTTTCTCTAGAAGCATTTGTATTAGATACTGTGAGTGTAGTGTTCAAGTTAGAGTTCACTTGAACTTGTCGCAACAGCTTGAGGTTGGTTGCCACAAAGGGTTAGAGGTAATTCTTAGGTTTACAAAAAGTTTTGTAAATATTATTTTTGGCTCAGTGATTTAGTGATGTATTGGGAAAAAATCCTACTGGGTAGTAGGTCGTTGTATTTTCACCTTATTAGCCAGGTGTTTTCCACGTAAAAATACTTGTGTTCTTTACTTTCTTCATTTATTATTCTGCAACAGTAGCATAAAGAACACATAGAAGAACCAAGTCCTTCTATAATCTGTGCACGCAAAAACTTGGACACCACTCAAATTACCTCAGCTCTTGTGTGGTATTGAAGTATAAAACAACAATTGGTATCAGAGCAGGTTATCACTGAAGAGGCTAACACCTTAGGAGAAGATCAAGATGAGTGCACCACCTGGAAACTGAGAAGGGCAATCCACAGCTAGGCCACCACTCTTTAATGATCAGTACTACTCTTGGTGGAAGCCAAGAATGAGAGATCACATACTAGGAGAGGACTATGAGCTATGGGACATTATCACTGATGGTCCACTGGCTACTTTGAAGAAAAATGCTGAAGGAGTAGATGTGCCAAAGACAAGAGCTGATTGCAATGATGAGGATCTGAAGAAGTGGAAAAAGAATGCTAAAGCCAAGAAGTGGCTTGTCTGTGGAGTTGGTCCAGATGAGTACAATAGAATTCTAGGCTGCTCCACTTCCAAGCAAATTTGGGACATGCTGCAAGTGGCCCATGAAGGAACAACTCAGATGAAGAGATCTAGAGGAACTCTACTGTACTTTCAGTATGAGAACTTTGCTATGAATGATGGGGAAACCATTCAGGAGATGTATACAAGGTTCACTACACTGACAAATAAACTAAAATATCTTGGAAGGATTATCCCTGAAGAAGAAAGAGTTGAGAAGATACTTACTAGGGTCTTTCCAATCACTTGGGAAAGAAAGATCACTGCCATCTAGGAACCAAAGAATATTGCCACTCTCCATTAGATGAATTAATTGGGAATCTCACTGCTAATGAACTTTGGAGACAAAACCATGAAAATGGATGTACCTAAGAAAGAAAGGAGATTTTTACTCAGAATCACTGAAGGTTCTGATATGGAAGATGATGAAATGGCTATGATCACCAAAGACTTCAAGATGTACCTAAGGAGGGGAAAGGGTTATTCAAGAAGTGGAAGCTACAACAAGGCAATAGCTCTTGAGAAGAAAACCCATGATGGCTGCTACAAGTGTGGAAAGACTGATCACATGGTCAAAAAACTATCTTTGTGGGAAATTGAATGGAAGAAAGAAAGAGTTGAACAAAGGAACATGAAGAAGGAACAGGTTCAACCCAAGAAAAGCAACAACAAAGGATCAACCAAAGCTATGGTTGCTGCTTAGGGAGAAAGCTCAGATGATGATGATGATGACGAATGAGCACTTATGGCCATTGGAGAGTCTGATGAAGAAACTGAGGTAAGTGTGTCTTTCATCTCAAAGACAAGATTAAATTTTTGTCTAAAGAAAGGTTACCTGAGTTACTACTAGAGCTAATTGATGAGTCTGAGGATGTGAATAATGAAAAGGAACATCTGTCAAAAGAATTTGTGATTTTGAAAGAAAAGTGCAAAAACCTAGAACTTAGGGCTTGTGGAACTGAAAGTGAAAATACTATGTTGAAGAACTAGGTTCATGCACTTGACATAAGTGTCCTACAACATAGGTCTGAAAATCTAAAATTGAAATTAGGAACAGGCAAAAAGACAACTGATCACACACAACTCACTTTAGAAGAAAACTTAAGAAAAATAAAAGATGAGTTGTATAAGAGGGATGAACAGGTAAGAGTCCTAAAAGAGCATCTGAATAAGCTCAAGCATGAGCTAGACAGAACTTGTAAATGGAACAAGTCCTCCGATGCACTTTCATGGTTACAAGAACATCATAGTAGCAACAGAAGAGGACTTGGCTTTGGAAACTCTGCACCTAAGTGGGATCCCAAAAGTAAGTACCTCACACTCCCTAAAAATAAGATTTGCACACACTGTGGTAACAGTAGTCACTATAAAAGTGAATACGCTACAAAACAGAGGGCATATTAAAAGAACAAAAAGTTTGTTCAAGGGAAAAATAGGCTGCCAAGTCGGGCTAAAAAGAATCTGATTTATCCTTTTGCTTATATAAAAGGACCCAAACTAGTTTGGGTACCTTAGTGTAACGACCCCAATTCACCCTCCATGAACATGTCGTGATGGCACCTAGTTCCTACAACTAGGTAAGCCTTACAGTGCGGAATAACAAATTAATATTTGCGGAATAATTAATTAAAACCGAACATACGGAAATAACAACTGTATATAAGGCCACTCGGCCTATACAGCTCAAAAATATGCGGAAGTCTACAACTAAATCCCAAAACCCGGAAACTCACGGGAAACACAGGCTAATAGAATGTAGTAATCTGCTCTACACCAGAATGTCTAAACAACATGAAAGGAAAGAAAGGAACTATCTGCTAAAGCCGGAATAGAGTAGAGATTCCTGGTCTGCGGACGTAGCAGATATACTCAAGTCTCAGCTAGGACTCTCCACCACGAGGATGATACGCCTGGGAGGAAGTACCTGGATCTGCACATGAAAAACATGCGCAGAAGAGGCATGAGTACACCACAGCGGTACTCAGTAAGTGCCATGCCTAACCTGGTTGGGTAGTGACGAGGAAGGTCAGGGCCCTACTGAGATAAAACATAATAAATAATGAGATAACAGAAGCAGTTTAAATAAAGTCTACAGCGAGTCTAAACCAGGTAAATAAGGAAGAACAGTAATAGAAAGCAAAGGTAACAATACAAGGAAAACTGCCCTCAACAAGGAATAATAGCCGGGGGATCTCTTGGTATCCCGAGGATCTCTTGGTATCCTCAATAAGTAAGTCGGGGATCTCTTGGTATCCCGAGGATCTCTGGGTATCCTCAATAAGTAAGTCAGGGATCTCTTGGTATCCCGAGGATCTTTGGGTATCCTCAATAAGTAAGCCGGGGATCTCTTGGTATCCCAATATATATAGAAACACATGTGCCAGGGATCTCTTGGTATCCCGCACCCTCAGTCCAGAATATCTCAAGTACAGGGGATCTCCCGGAAAGCCGTCCCGTAGTCCCAAATTAAACACACAACAACAACAACCCATAATCTCAGAATAAATGCTAAAATCAGGACAAGTAATAGTAAATTCTAGCCTAACATGCTTCACAGAGCACAAATAGTACAGCTAAACAAATAAGCAAGTAAGCCAGCTAAACATGCGTCTCTAAGCTAGCACAGGTATAAACTTACAGTCTAAAATGAACAAGTAAACAGGAAATCTCAATTTAAATACTTCAAGTAGAAACGGGTTTACAACAATTAGCTCAAGTACGCGCTAGTCACCTCACGTACGAGGCATTCAAATATTCAAAGATCATGTCCTAAGGGGAAAGGTCCCCCACACAAGGTTAGACAAGCCACTTACCTCGAACCGGCTCAATATCAACTAGAAACCACGCTCTTGCCACGAGTATCCGACTCCAAATGGCCCAAATCTATTCAATTCAATTACACGTTGTAAATAACATCGCAAACACCTGGTTTTGCTATTAAATTCAAAGTTACGGCGTGAAATTAGGTGAAATGACCGAAATGCCCTTCAGGCCAACGCCTCGGAATCGAATAATTTTCATAATTTCAGAACCCTCATACTCTCACGAGTCTAACCATATAAAAATCTCCCAAATCGGAGGTCAAATGCTCACTCAAAACCCAATAAGTTGGCCTAAGAAGTTTTAACCAAATTCTTCAAATTTTAATCCTAAATTCGAATTTTAATGATGGATTTAACTGCAAAATGATGAAATATAACTAGAAGGGATTAAGAAAACGTTACCCAATGATCTTCACTTCAAAACCCACTCAAAATCGCCCTCTCCCGAGCTCTCAATTGATTTTTCCAACTTTTGAAACTCAACCCTCGAAGTTCCCTTTTCTGAACAGGTATTTCCGCTTCTGCGGACAAGGGACCGCTTCTGCGGTCCCGCTTCTGCGAAAACCAAGCCGCTTCTGCGATTTTCACTTAATGGGCCAGGTTCCGCTTCTGCGGTACAAATCTCGCAGGTGCGAACCGCATATGCGGTCAAACCTTCCGCACCTGCGGAAAAGCTGAGGAGTCCAAATTTCTCTTCTGCGATGACCAAGGCCGCTTCTGCGGTTCCCAAGCCGCAGAAGCGAAAAGATACCAGAAGCAGCAGAATTGCTACCTCTCAACTTCCAAAATTCTTCCGTTAACCACCCAAAATCATCCTGAGGCCCCCGGGACCTCAACCAAAAGCATCAATACCACCTAATACCTTATTCAAACTTGTACCAATCTTAAAAACACCTAAAACAATGCTGGAAACCCGAAT